AATAAATAGAATAACTAAATTAGTGATACAAGCTTACAGAAAATTGTACAAAAGCAAGCGAAGCAAACACCATACATAAACCAACGTCACCAAGCTGGTAAAAAGAAATTGTAAATACGGTAAGATAATAGGTTAATTGTTAATAAAAATTTTAATCTTAGCTGTTTTCCCAAGTCCTCGAATCTGCAGCACTCTTGGTAACAAATGAGATGGACTGGTTTGATTCCTTCAGGGTAAGTTATGCAGTGTTTTTAAGAATCTCCGGGTTCTATATTATTAAGTTATATTTTTTTTGAGGTAGTCTTTAAAGTTAAAGATGAAACTTAAAAGTTGAGATTAAGATTGGAATTGGTAGTTATAGTTACAGAGTAAAATGAACAAACAGGCATAGAACGGTAATTTTGATGGGTATTCTTTTTTTATATAGGTAATATTACTTATAACTCACCTTGGATGATGGGTGGTCACAAAGGGACTTCAATTGAAGTAACTTTATGAAAAAAGATAAAAAACTTTAAATATCCAGTAAACATCTCCTTGTTTGTGAAGTGGGATAATTATTGAATTTTTGAAATTAGTTGGATATACTCCTTTTTTGATACATTGGTTAAAAATATGTTTTAATGGTTTAGTAATAAAATCGGTTAATAATTTAATTGTTTCAGTTTTTATATTATCAATACCTACAGCTTTCTTATTAATTAATTCATTTATTGCGTTTTTTATTTCAGGTTCTTCCACAGAAGTAAAGACAAAGGAATTTGGGACAAGTTTACGTGGAGGTTTATATTTAACATTAGTTTTAATTTTTTGTGCCAACTTCTTACCTACTTGTTTAAATCTAATATTAAATTCATTTGCTATATCGATTTTTTCTGTTAATTTTTGGTTCAATTCATTTTTAATATCATTTATGGTGGGTTTCATTTTTTTTTGTATGACTTATTTCTTGTACAATATTCCATAATTTTTGTGAATTATTTAAATTATTTTGTATTTTAGTTGTAAAATAATGATATTTTTTTTTTATTTATTTCTAAAATGTTTGTATTCCATTTTAATAGCCATGTTATTCGGACTCTTTATAGTTTTTTGAAACAACTAATTTTTTTTATTTATCGATTTTAGGAGACCATTCGTTACCCAGGGTGCTATTTTTACGTATTTTCTTTTTTTATTTCGGACTTCCTTACATAGATCTATTGTTTCTATTACAGTTCTTAAGAATATATCTGTTGCGATATTTGGATCAGATGATGTATATACATCAACCCAATTTATGTTTTTAAATTTCTTTTTAATCTTTGTTTCGTTTATAAAAGTTGTTTTATTTATTGTGTTATTACTTATTTTATATATTTTATTGTCTAACATAATTTGAAGAATTATTACGTAATGATCTGTCAAATCGGTTTTTATAATTATTGGAATTATATTTTCTTCTACTTTTTGTTTAGCTCGTAAAAAACATGGTCTATGCATGTTTTGCTATTACCTTGTACTCTTGTAGGCTCATTAATTGTTGATATATACCCAAATTCGGTTAGAACATTTAGATATTCGGAAGTTGTATTGTCGTCCGGTTTTAAAAGATCTATGTTTATGTCTCCCATAAAAATATGTAAATCGTTTTCATTGCGTTTGTATCTATTTAGATAATTTTCTAAATGTACAGTAAAATCTAAGGCATCTGAGTTAGGTGATCTAAATAAAGATGTAATACTAATATTCATATTATTCTCAAGTTGAATTTTAATTTCTAATACTTTAATCCTATCTAATATTTCTACAGTGTTGTGGGTAAATGTAAATTTCGACTTAATATAAGCTACAACTCCATCATTTTGGTTAAACTTCCTTTCATTGTATACTGCAGAATACCCTTCAATATTAAATAAACTCTGATCTAAAATGTCCCAAGTCTCACTCAAAATTAAACAATCAATATCACAATCTAGGTTTTGCAAAAGAATCTTAAATTCATCTAAATTCTTTTTTATACTGCTTATGTTAAATCCTAATACTTTAAAGTTCGGATTTTTTTTATTAATCGCCAAAATTTGAGAACATTCTGTAGTAGTATCAATTGAGTAGGAATTCACTAAATTTGTTTTGAAGTCGCGTAGATACTGATCCATTTTGTAAATTGTAAACTTGTATAAAAGAGAAAATGATCAATTCTTTATCTATACTAATACACTTATTTAAATTTATATAAAACAGAAAATGATCAATAAATTTTAAATTATCTAAAACAAAGTGATGATTAAAAATAAAAGGTACTAAGGCAATACAAAATATTAGTTTACTTGGACGTAGATCCTGTTTTTCCTTTAGTTCCTTGGATTCGACTGCTGGCCCGAACTACTTCTTTTTGGAAAGTTGGTTTGATTTTGTTGCTAGTTGTTGGGGTGTTGGGATTTACGCTATTTACTTTATTTTCAGATATTTTCGGGTTTTCGACAGGAAAGTCAAAGACGTTATCAATAGTATCCTTTTGGATAGTTCCAGTTGGGGTTGGCGGTTCACTATTGGATTTAAAGGTCAGATGATCGTTTTCGTTTTCTTCTTCCTTAATAATTAACTCTTCAATTGTATAGGCTTTGTCGTCCACGATCAACTTGTTATTTTTTATGTAACAATTTTTACTCCCCTCTTTCTTAGCGCGATTAAGATGACGCCTCAGCAGTTTTGCCTCTTCTCGTTGTTGCAGTGTTTGGTCGTTTGCGATTATGATATTTTTTCCCTTTAACTTAAAACAATTTTTTAGAACAAGTCTCTTCATCCAGTAAGAAACAAAGTCTACTTTTACCGGTTTATCTTGTCCTTTCCCTAAGGAGTAGAAATCGTTGATATGTGTTGGTGTTATGTCTACTTCTATTAGATTTTTGAGATGGGTGCAGATGCTTTTTATATTTAATTCGTTATTGGGTATATTTAAGCCAAATATCACAATACTATTATTTTTGTTTTCTCTTTTTAATATTTCTATCTCTTCTTTTAACTGTTGATTTTCTTTTTCAAGTTCTGAAGTTTTCTTATTCATCAATTCAATTTTCAGTATTAATCGAGCTTCTGAGGCTTCAACAACATTCCTATTTTTAATAATTTCTTCAAATATACGTTCTAATATAATATTTTCACCCATTTTGAGAACATTCATGCAGATTTATAGTAATATTGTTTTCTCTTTTACCTTCGGTTGAATCATATGTATTCATGAACTACTTGATAAGGAATTTGTTAAACTCACGATATAACACAATAAAAATAAATCATTTTAAAATATTAATATTCAAAAAGCTTGTTCAAATACATTATTTCTATTTGTAGGTCATGCATTGTTGTTATTAAACGTACGTGCATCTTTTTCATTCATACTCCTATCGCAACATCAGGGCCATAAATAATACATTTATTTTATATAAACATAATTTATTGCACTAAAAATATCACAAAATACGGTCTAGAATAAAACGAAGAAATTAACTTAATTTAAAAAAAAAGAAAAAACATATTTAATGAACTGGTAGTTTTAATCAGACGGATTATCATTTATATCAGTGGCAGTGGCCAGAATTACTAATTATATTTATTAATGACAATTAAAAGTAACGGTTTAATGTGCTTTATCACGCTCCAGAATTAATTTCAACACGGGCAACTTTGTCTCTTAATTAAGATTTATTGCGATGAGTTGAATGAAATTAATATCAAATAAATACAAAGAAACTCGTAGTGACTATACTATAGTCAAATTTTGGTACGTGTACACAAGACGAAGGTAAAGTTATTGATTTTAATTCTACAAAATATTTTTTGGTATGATGTTTAACAAATCATAATACAAGGTGTTTCATTGGTAAATGGGCATATGTTAACTGTTAGAGTTAAGAAAAAAGTTTGGGTTAAGAAAAAATCTAGTTGTCGAGGAACAAATAAAAGGTCAACTTTGTATTAGAGTGACTTGAATAAAGGACATTAAAAAATATTTTGCTATTGGCAAAAGAAAGTGAAAATAAAATGTAGAATTAAGAAAAGTATATAAAATTGGAGAAGAAAACTTCCAGTAGGAATAGATCTATAAACAATAAAATATAAAATCAAAAAATGAAGAAATAATTAAAATCCACATACATAATTTTATTATTAAAATTAAAACCAAAAGAATATATCTACAAAAATGTAACTGCAGATAATTTATATTTTTTTTATATATCCTCAATTATATAATAGGGCAATTGAGGCAGAATAACTTTTGAAATATTAGTTAACGACAATAAATGAATGATACATTAATTTTTTTTTAATCTCTATGAAGGGGGCAGAGCAAAAAGATAGAAAGTTTATAATAAATAAAAGATAGAAAAAGATAAGTAGTATGAAGAAAAACTTGTGCTAATTTTAAGGGATACCTAAAATAGTGAAACATTTAGCCGAGTGCCAAATAACAATGTTAAATGGTAATAAATTCTGGGAAATAGTAGCTAGATAAATAGATGTACACTTAGGGGTAGAATTATTAAAAAACCATTTCTTTTTTTTTTAAATACTAGATAGGTAAATATATATAGATAAGGGTATAATTGTTAGAATTCTTGGGTTTTGGGACACAAAAATAGTTAAAAACTGAAAAGTAGCCAAAAATTACAAAAGTATATAGTATAGATAATAATTGTGTAAGAAATCATGTGCTTTTGGAAACTTAATAAGTAATATTAGTTAATAGGATTTAATTATAACCTGTACTTACCGATATTTTTGTTTTGTTTTCCGGTACCATCAATGGGAAAACACACTCACTTCAGGATAAAGACACACTCTACGGGTCAACCTCGATCTAGTAGGACTGATGCAGTACCAAAGACAATCGTCTGAGTCTCCGTTTTATGAAACAAGCCACGCTGCTTCTGGTCCACATTCTAAGAAAACGTATATTGGATGTGAGAATGGGAAAAGTCCATCTGTATCAACTTACATGTACCCAGTAGAGATGAAAGAAAACAAAGATAATCCATTACACTTAAACATTACCGTAATTCAAAAAATAAAACACGAAAATGTATAATTTCTCAAGTCATAACCTATAACCGACATTAAAAATATACAAATTACAAAATAAGATGACATGACAGATGACAAGACGACAGATAACGGTAATTTCAACAGTATGTTCTGATGGATGCTGATTCGACAGGTGACATACCGTCACAAGAAGTAAAATTCCAGCCTTGGAAAAGGTTCCAAGCCTCTTTGGTGCACTTATATCCACTTATCGAATACCGATGTTTTTAATCCAAAAAGGAATCAGGCGAGATTCGATATACGCTCCAGCAGAGGGTCTGACCCAGAGAAAGCTGCCAAACCCACCGAGTTCGAGGCCACCCTTCGTCCAGGGTAGCTATTCTTGAATTTGAGGGAGTAGAAAACCGGTTTTTCCTCTTTATCTGCAACGCACAAAATTTGTATTTTTGTCTCATTCTTCCCTCAAATTTTCTACTCCCTAAGATTCAAGAATAGATACCCAGTTCTATGTCGGACCAAGGAACAGGGAGACGCGATACGTAATAGCGTGATATCACGGCTAGTTTCACTGTGTCCAGAGACGGACGAGCCCAAAATGAACAAACAAACAATTTCGGTGTGTGTCGGTCCTAAAAACGGTATAGTGTGTGTGAACTGAATTTGTTCTTCGCGAAAAACAGTTAACACTTTGTGTCATACTATTAATACACAAGGATTGTTTGCCTTGGTATTTTTAAGTATTAATTGTTTATTTTAATTTTTTTGTACACTTTTAGTATATATACACATTTTTTTTATTATTATTTAAGTAATGGTTTATAAATTTTATAGAGGTTACTTTTTCAGGTTACGTTTTTATAGTTTTATATATATATATATATATATATATATATATATATATATATATATATATATATATATATATATATATATATCATAATTTGTACAAAATTTTATTTTTTAGGAATAAAATATGTTTTTATTAGGTTAAGTTTTAAAGCCCGGGTCAGGCTTTTACAGGTGGGGGGCATGTCACAAATCTCAAAAATATTAATAATAATTTTTCTTAGTTTGTAAATTTTTTATTATACCGGACCTGGATTTTCCCTATTATTAATACGTCTCTGGATTTGACAAATTAAGATGTACTTGTATACCAAATATCAAAAAAATATACAGCGTGTTTCAAAAATTAGGAGCCTAGAAAGAAATTGGCAAAATTTATAAAACACCCTGTATCTCGGTTATAAAGGGCGACAGACCCATGAAGTATGGATTTTTTGGAACCATTGGCCAATGAAATACCCTGTATAATTAATTTGTGAATATAACAAACACCTTTACAAGTATTTATTGACTACCTCAGCGATCCATACTAGGACCTCTTATTACTTATAAATGATAACATATAGAGATACCCGATACCCTGTTTGTTTTTTAAATTTGATTATCTCTAGGATCTTAACCTTAACCTAATTTTCCATATCAATAAAATTATTAAGCAGAATCTATTTATTTTTCACAGTTCCATCAGCCGTACCTGGTTTTTTAAACACTTTGTACAAAAAATTCCCTGTTCAAAAACGGTTCTAAAATAACTGTGTAAACAAACATTACTTAATCAACGACATGCTATTGACTTGAATATTTAAAAGGGGAAGAAAAACACATATCATGCCGTTGGTAATATTTTTGAATTAATCTTAAACAATAGCCGACGGTTTTCTCCATTAATTAATATTATAATCAATTTTATGGGTAAATTCGGTAACATCGTAATAGGAAATTGAAATATATACCTTTTGTCTAATTTATTTTGATAAATAACGGAAATTCTCTCCCCATTTTAGCAAAGAACAAAATATTTCCGGTGGATTTTTAATTAGCCAAGTTACTAATTCGAAAATTCTTTTACGATTCCAAAAGTATCAACAACAGAACAAGAGAAGGGTGATAATTATTTTCATTAGGTATGGTTTGATAAAAAATAATCTTACCTCTTTATCGATTCCAATACATAGATTTTGAAGCTCAATGAAATAAAAGAGAGATACTTCTAGATTCTTACATAAACGTAAATTTTCGTTAGTACCTATTTATTATTTTTGAGTATCGTTTTTTTTTAATACCTTATTTAAAAATATGAAAACCAATACTTTACTCAAATTAGTCTGATCAAATGGGGTTCAAAAGTGACTGTTTCGTAACATGAGTGCGTAGAAGGTTTTTCAACGGAATTATATGTTTTTTGGGGTGATGAACACGAATATGAAGTTTACTGCCTCGTAGCAGTGCTGCTTCAGGTCGAAAAACATTTTTCTGGTTTTTGCGCTCATGTAATGGAAACTATGCATCGTATGAAAAATGTCATTCTAATTAAAGTTGAAGAGCATAAAATTCTGCGTCGAAAAACCTCCCTAACTTTCAAATTAGACCGATTTATAAGATCGCCATCGTCAGTCAAAAAAGAAGCCAATTTTTAGCAACTTTTGAGAAAACTGCAAGAAACTCACTTTTAGACGTCTGTGATGTGAAAACAGCCACTCTACGTGAAAAAGTCGTAGAACAAAAGTTGTAAAGCATCAAATTTTGCGTTCAGTGAGCAATTTTAAATTTGGATTAGTATATACGCATATACTGATCATTTCTTCATTTTCCCTCTAAGCGCTTATTTGACCAATATGAAGGTGTTTCGTAAAGTTTTGCGTAAACTGCAATAAACTCACTTTAAGATAACTGTGATTTGAAAACAGCCATTGTACGCTTAATTTTCGTTGTTAGATCGGTAGACCGTTTCACAGTTCTCAGTTTTCCATGTGTCATCACAAGTCGCTTGATTACCATTCTAATGGCAAAGTGTGAAGAAGCTGGAATTGCCTGCAGACAAGCGAGGATGCGGATTCACTGATTGTTCGGACGGCCGAATCGTTGGCCCCAACTACTCAAACTGTTGCGATTGTGTGGAAAGATGTAGATCTGCTGGTGATAATGATGGGTCTCAACAGTTCTCCAATCGTCTATCTGCTGAAGCCAGGGAAAGGAAAAGCACCTCAGTTTCTGCGCTCGATGAGTGGATGCGACTCGACGTCATCTTTATATAACCAAGGCAAGACTAAATATTCAGACCTTGAAGAGACCGTTGGGAAATTCTTGGATCCGTCAGCCCAGCCAACGGCAATTGCTGCTGCTGAAAAAACATTTTTAGTGGTCCTGTACGGAGCGAACCATCTAACGACTTTCTTGAATGCGCTACGATACAAGCAGTATGTGACATCTGCCTTCAAGTTTTCCAGAAACAGTGCATCTATCCCTCCCATCGATGTTGCAGCCTACCAGCATAGCTTGCGTGTATATTTACAAATGCAGCAGTGGCTCGGCAACAGTTTGGATTCGAAGATGTGGTGTTGAAAGACAACCAAAAATGGTGTGATCCCACTTACCACCCTGAAACCCCCGGCTTCTAATAAAATAATGCAGCAAATATTATGCAAATGCAGCACGCACTGTGGTGGACGTTGTGAATGCAGGCGAGCAGGTATGTTCTGCACCCAAGATTTAGAGAAACTGGTTCTTACTCTAGACGACCTGGACAGGGAAGACCATGGGTAACAAACGCCGTAGAAAATCGATTTCTGAGACTTCAGATGCTTCAAGAGTGGACAGTTACGGCTACAGCTTTGACCAGGAGACTGGCAGATGTTCATGGAACCGTAGTTTCACCTAATACTGTACTCAGAAGATTAAGCGAACAAAATTTATCGTCTTATGTACCTGCCACAGGCCCTTTACTGGATGCAGCTCATCGAAGACAACGCTTAGAATTCTTTCGTGCTCATGCAGATTGGGATATGGAAGATTGGCAAAACGTTCTTTTTACAGATAAGTCTCATTTTACGAGATACTTACCTGATGGTCGCCAAAGAGTATGTAGGTGGCCTGGAGAACGCTATGCTCAATGTTGTTTCTCCCCTAGAGTACAGTTTGGTTGTGGAGGTGCAATGGTGTGGGGCTGCATTTCTTTAGAAGCACATACAGATCTTTTTATGTTAGAGGGAGCTGGCCTTAATGCTGATAGGTACATTAGGGAATGTCTGGAAGAACATGTGGTTCCTATATTTGTATTTTGTAGGTTAAAATTTTCTTCTAATGCAAGATAATGCTCGGCCGCACATAGCCAGAGTAACTATGCAATACTTTACTACCGGTTTCATGTTACCGAAAAAGTATCATTTGATCAGGCTAAATGTGGATTTCCCATTAATTTATGTCATAGACGTTCTTCTTAATGGAAACTTCTTTTTCCCTAAACAATTTTAAGTTATTAAAACGTCTCTTTTGGGTTCAACTGTGGTGACATATAATTATTTGTTTAGTACGCAAGTGGTTATAAATATGTTAATTTTTTTATTTTCATACCACAATTTCTATTGCCTAATAAGATTGTCTGGCTTTATTAATTTAGTATTTTTATGTTTAAATATTCTTTATATTTTTACTTAATACCACAAAAATGCTAATTTCTTGTACACCATTTAGCACCATGTTTCTATTCTTTGTTGGGATGTTGTATTATAGCCCTGAAGATGACAGATGACTCTATAGAATTGAAACGAGTGGCACGTAACTGTTGTTTTTAAGATTATTAAATATATAAATGTGGTATTGCTTTTGAGTTCCATTCTTTCGTTTGATATTAGTATTGTTACATAATATAATGAAATTTCTAGAAAACAAAGTTCTAATTATTCCAGAACAAGTTTTTATTATTAAATAATAATATGGTGTGGAGATATTTCAAATTGTAATGAAAATTGTTATAGGGGTAAAAAAGTTGTTGAAATAAGAGTAGAAAATTATGTCAGGGATGTTAGTTTGATTTTTGTTAGAAGGTAGAGGGTGTAGAACGGAGTGTGTAAGATTTGAATCTTTTCCAGTACAGTTTTTTAATAAATTTGATTTCACTTTGGTAGTAGAGCTTATTTAAAAATCCTCCCAAAAAATTCATCTAAGAAATTATATTAAAGGAGACACGCATTCTCCTGTCTACCACACATAGCGGATATAAGAAAATTAACTGCAAATTTTAACTCAGCCATGAGATAAACTAGAACTCCATGATGACCCTGGGAATTAATTCGCTAACCAAACTTTTCATAGCAATAAAAGACGTTGAGCCATTTCTAAAATAATCTTAGTAAATCCGATGTCACGATTATTGCTCAGAGTCGAATAAAAGGTAATTAAACAGACGAGATAAAATGACATTTGCATATTTTAAGTCTCGCGAGACTTGAATTACGAGCTTGCAGTTAATTCGCATTAAAAGAGGGCACTACAAAGTCGAAGCTCTGGCAGCAAACTGGGAAAATATCAACCGGGAAGTGTAACATAACTAATTTTATGTGCTTACTACAAATCACATGCTCTATACCGTGGCATTTTCCAGTCACTGTCAGGTGTTCTAATTACTTATGCTTTCCGCATATTATTAATGCCTTAAAGGAGATTGTTAATAAGTTTGTAAGGTTGATTTAAACTTGGCGCCGAGTAATTACCTGTGTCAAAAATGATCATGTTTCTCGCAATTCTTTTCATAAAGTTTAATTATATTCATCGTCGTTGATTTTCTATTAACGCAGAAAGGAGAAGGAAGGAAAATAAACCGATATGATTTTTTTAATATTTTAATAAATAATTGTGATCAGCTGTTGACATTCTGAAAATTTATGTATTTCTCCAAGCCAATCAAAATATTCATTTTATGCCATTGATTGATCTGTGTAGAATAATATAATTAGCAAAAGTAGTTAAATATGCCGCAAAATACTTCAATATGTGCGTAAAAAATTGAAAAATATGCAGAGCATATGCAATAAGAGTAATTTGTTATTTGATCGAAATAGTTTATTAATATTTATTATTTGTTTTATTTTACAATACCTAATATAATACTTAATAATTATTTAATTATTAACTAATTTTATTTACAAATCAACATTATTATAAAACGAATGAACAATTAGATGTTTTTCTAAATTATCTGTATTAAATGATTGTCTCCTATCAGTAAGTATGTACTTGTACAAAGAAAAACTCCTTTCGACATCTACAGAAGTAATAGGTGCAAACTTAATTTTTCCTGAAATATCTGGATGAATAGTATTAATATCTTCAAAGTTACCAGAATAAATATTAGCAAGGTTTCTTAAAACAACAAATCCTTCATTTTTTAAAATTAAATTTGAAAATTTATGAAAAATCCTCTTTCCAATATCGCCCTGGCCATTTTTACACTCTGATTCAAACGTCTTAATTAAATTTACAGAAGTCATCAAAGGTAAATTTTTTTTGTTCTAAATCTAATATAATATTGGGTACAAATGCATAATTTTTTAAAAACACTAATTGCTTTGGTAATATGTGATTTTGACACAACTTCTTTGCATTAGATATTCCCTTAGATGAATCATCAAAATCAAATATGATTTCTTTAATTTTTTCATAATCAACTGCGTAAAATAAGGCAGCTTAAAGCCAGGTACCCCACCAAGTAATCACAGGTTCCGGTGGCATCTGTATTTTTCTTTGTACATTTGAGTTCTTAGAGGAGTTTTAAGTAATATTTTTTTTACATTACTAATTAAATCATTTATTAAAGGAAAGTTAGACCTATTTCTTCTGCAACTCTTTTAAGGCCATGAGTCAAACATGTAACATAAATTAAGTTTTCATAAAACATTTTTAAATTTTGTGCGGCTTTTACCATGTACGGGGCAGCATCGGATAACAGCAATAAACATTTTTCTGTTGGAACGGCTTCCGGAAGAAAAAAGGAAGACAATTCTGTCTGGATAAAACGAGTTATTGTCAAGTTATTTGTTTTATCTAATTGCTTTGAAGCGATTAGATATGGACCAATTTGCATTTCTTCGCGTAATGAACCTATCATTAAATGGGCTATATATCGACCACAAGAGTCTGTTGTTTCATATACTTTGCTCTGGAATATTAAATTTACAGTATTTTTGCAAAAATGATCGGAGATTTGGATTATTTAATCGTATTAAAGGGATATTTGAAGTCACTAGCTTTGCATAAATCTTCATTAAAAATAGCTTGTTCACTTCTAGACGATCCAGATTTTAAATATTGTTTCAAGGGAAATTGACTTTACGAGTGTCTTTAGATTTCTGCTTTGCTATATGTGAGGGTGTTTTCGCGTGTTGGTCGATTTGAAACTTTTTTTACATGGAATCTAAAACAAATAAATTCCTGTAGATGTTGAAGTTTTAATTAAATTAAATAAATGCGTACGTTGTAAAGTTGCCCTACTTTTTTTTTAACTGTGAGTGGAAATAATAATTTACTGTCGTTTGATTTACCATTGTGAAAGGTCAAAATAAAATATAAAATAAAAAAGTACTTACAATTTTAGAACATGTTTTACAAAACACCTGGTTATCACCTTCTACAACAAAATCTGAAAAAGATTTTACCCACGACTCAATTAATTTTGCCATTTTTCCCACTGGTTAACACAACACAACAATAAAGACTGAAATGAAGTTAAAAGTAAACTGAGTCATTTAGAAATTTGAAGATATTAATACAACTACCTGAAAGGATATTTAGCAAAATTTGTTTGTTTAAGGAGGATGTTTATAATTTAATCCTCTTAAGTACCTACATCATTAACCGTAATTTATTACAGGAAAAAGTTAATCCTTTAAAATTTTAGGAAAGGCATTTCACAAAATATTATTTTGGTCCAAAACTCATAATTTTAATATGTCCAGCCAATTATTACGTCAGATATATGCCAAAAAATTAACAAAATGTCAATATATGCATTCAAAATCAAAATTTGTATATATATGCAACATATGCAAAATATGGCGTTTTGCATATATTCCTAGCTCTAATTATCATCATTCTCCTTGCCGTAACTAGAAGTTGGTTTAGCTCCCTCTTTCAAAAATACTTTAACCATCGGAAGAAAAAATAAATTCAGTTTTTCTAAAATATATAGAGTAAATCCTACTATTAACCCCAATCTCTGGTTAAATTCCTAGGGCATGTAGCCAAAGGTTTTTTAATTCAGGATTTCCAGGAAATCTAAACAATAATAAAAAATTACTATTTAAAAAGGATACACACAGCATAAACCATATTAATATACGGTATAAATGGCAAAAACGAACCAGTTTTATAAAAAATTTAATGATATTCAAGCACTATTTACCTATCTGTAAAAAGTTACAGAACTGCCTTTAAAATATTTTAACAACCATTTTTCTGAATATTTTACACATTTCACAAAAAAATATAAATATCTACTACAAAATTTCCACAATACAACAAAATCCAAACAAAGCGTAGGCACTAAACTACCTAAGGAGACGACACTG